ATTAAGCAGAGCAGTCTTAAAATTTGTCAATGACAGACTTGTTGACAGAGATGACACCGATTGGAAAGATGAAGTCCAACAAAAGTTCTTAGAATGCAAAGAAGACACATGCGCTGTTCTTGAAGATGAAATAGAAAACATAATAAAGAGCTATTAAAGGACAAAGAACTTTTACATAAATATGGTTGCGCCAAATTTGACATAACTCCACCAGAAAAGAAGAAGAGAGAAAAGAAAGAAAAGAAAGTAGAAGAGAGAGAAGAAAGAACCTGAACCAGTTCCAGAGAAGGGAGAATGACATGTAAAAATAAAATTTTATTTTTAGAACATTTCTGGGTCAATGTCAATGTTCTCTTCCTCTTTAGGAGTAAACACTGGCTTAGACTCTAATAGCTTTTTACCCAATTTACCTTGAACTTCTACAACTTTAGACTCATAATATTCATAGTCGTCTGCTTTCTTTGGTTCATAAGGTATAACAAGTTTGTATGCTTTGCCTTCTTAAGTTTGAGAACCTTCTGTCAAAACTTTCTTTGACTGTTAACAAACCTTCTATGTCTAAGTCTTCAAATTTTCGCACCATTTTTAGTCACAATAGCAAACTTAACTGGTTCGATGTTCCAAACTTTGCTGAATGAAGACTTTTCAAAATGGTAGAAGTAAACATTCAAATATGTGAATGGGTCTAGTTCTTCTTAAGTCCTGACATGTACTTGTTTACTGAGATGAATTTCGTCATCTTTTCTATCGGATAAAAAAATATTTTTTTTTAAATTTACTCAGAAAAATTTTTCTTTGTATATACACCATTCTGTACGTCTAAAAGACTTTTGACATTTGCCAAATGTACGTTTAGACGCTGCCATATAACCATATTCTTGACAATATTGTTTATACGAATCGTACAATGACCTTTCATCTAAACACTCAAAGTCAGTTTCATCTATGAACAGTTCATATACACTCTTGTTTGCTTCTAACAATGTTTGTCTCTCTTCGGTATGTGGAATTTGTCTTGGATTGAACTTAGAAATATCTAATGTCATGAAATATGAGAACAAGTGGTTGTAAAAGTCAGATGTCAAAGTTTCTGCTAAGTCGTCAAAATATTCTGTATCTTGCATATGAGAATCTGACGTTCTGACAACTACATATCTTCTTCAGAACTTTCTAACTTCATCGGAACAACATTGTTTGAAACCATAATGAAGTTTGCAACATTTTCACAAACTCTTTGGTCTTTATACTTTCTTTCAACAATTCCAACTTGTCTGTTATAAGACTCTTCAAAGCATCTGAGTTCAAAACTTTTGTTGTATCTATACTTTGAAGTTCATTGCAAACTATAAGTTTCATATTCTCAATTGAAGAGTTAATTTACCGCAGATGTTTTCTAAGTTTGTCATATTAGGGTTCGAAACCTTCTAACAGTTTGCATAAGATATCTGTAAAGAAAGTATTCTTACCAGTTCCTTGTTTTTCCAATTATAATGAGAGCAGTTCATTTTTTAGCACTTGGATGTTGTAAGATGTTTGCAAACCAACATAAGATATACTCATAAACCTTTTCGTTTCCATTGCATATAATTTCTTTTGACATGGTCTAACCAAGCTTCTATAATATTTTCTTTCCATTCTACTTGTTCATATTTATATCCAGTGAAGATAGAATAGAAGTTTGGAGAAGGTGTATAAAACTTTATACCACGAACTGAAAAATCTTCAAGTTTTGACAATAAGATATCCCAAGCATCTAACATCTTCATACCAATTGTACGACTTTTATTTTCTTAAGTTTCTGTTTACATTCTTGTTCTGAAACTATTGTCGCTCTTGGTTTGTTAAAGACTACATCCCATTCTTTCATAACATAACATTCTGGGGCAGAGTCGACATAAATGACTAAAACGTTTCAAATTCTCGACTGCTTTGTTATAGTCTCTAAATGGACACATATTTCTGAATGCTTGGAAGTCATAAAAATCTGAAACATCTATTCTGTACATTTTTATAAAAATAAAAAAAATATTATTTTTTATTCTTGACTTTGTTGTTCCATTTGTTGCATTTGTTGTTCTTGAGCTATTTGTTGTTGAAGTTGTTTTTAAATACAATACTTTCACCAGTTGCATCTTCCAATTCGAAACTTTCTGCCGTCATTGACAAATACATAGGACATAAAAGTTTTACAGGAACAAAGTTTGCGTCAACTAATGTCAAGTTTATACTTGCCAAAGTGTTTGAGTTCACTAAGTTGAAAATTCTGCATTCGAATGAACAATAGGCAAACCAGCAGAGAAAGTATTGTTTATACGCATAAGTATCTTTTGGTCATAATAGTTTCTGTCGACATTCGAATAACACTTTGAACCTAAGTTTGAAACAATATATAAGATTGGTGTGCTTAATGTCAATGGAATAGACATTCCTTGTATGACACCTTTTCCTGTTATAGGAAACTGTTGGTAGTAAAAACCAGAAATAAGTTTTGTATTATAGCTCATATCGTTTATAGTAAACTCAGTCGGACATCCAAACATAATGAAACCTGCTCTAGTTGCAGCACATGTTACACCCGTCCTTAAAGTATTAAATAAGTCAACAAAACCTGTTGGTGGTATATCTGAGTAAGTATCTTCAAAGGAGTATTTTTTACCATTCACAACAATAAAGTCTTCTGGTGTCAAAAGAGCAAAACAGGCTTTAGTCGTCATTGTGTTTAAGGTTAGTTTACAATATCGTCCTTGAGGACTTTGTAAGTTTGTTGTTATAGAATTATATGACTCAGGGTTTTTAGTCGTAATAGTATAAACCATTATGTCTTCTGCCATTTATATATATTTAAAAGTTTTTCTGAAAGTGGAGAAGAACTTCATCTAAACTTTCACATGGCGTTTCTTGAAGTTCTCTGTCTAAGAAGTTCAAATATTTTGTAAAGACATAGAACTTTCCTTTGTCTACACGAACAAACAAAACAGGGTCTTTCATATCGTTCAAAAGTGTGTAAAGTCCTTTACATGAAATAAAGTCTATATTATTTTTCTTCAAACATCTTTCAAGAAGTTTTGACATTTTTACTTAGCAAATAAACTTTAATGAAATGTTGTGGTCGTCAAATATTTTTATAACGTCTGGGAAACTATATTTTAAGTTCAACGTTTCACCTCCTTTCATAACGTATATCTTGTCAATGACATTATATGAAACACCACAGCAACTAATGTCGGGTTCTATTTCTTTGATGTTTATATCGTCTGCCTCTGTCAAAAGTTTCAATAGTTCTTTCAAAACTTCATGAGGTGCAATGACATATGAGTTCACTTTTACAGGGTTGTGTTCGACCAAGTTTAACATTATACTTAAAGCTTGACAAATCTTCTCCTGAGTTTGAAGTTTGTCTTTCAGTTGTTGGTAGTCGTTTCGAATATCTGCAACAGAACTTAAGTCTCTGCTAACTTCAGGATATGTTGGTTCTTTTACAGGAACAATTGTTATACCATCTTCGTCTTCGTATGGTTTCCCCACTTCAACATCTCTGTCTTTGACATTGACAATAACACTTTGACTGTTTGTTTGAGTTGGTGAATTTAACTTCACATCTGCCACCGCCATTAAACCTTTTGAAACACTTACGCTTCTATTTTTCGGAAATGACATTTTACTTAGAATAAAAAGATGGACGTATTCGGATATCTCTTCGAATTGAAGCAGAACAAAGTTTACACACACAAACAATACAAATACATTGACAGAATAGTTCTTTACACAAACAATGGAAAATGTTATAGAATAGCAGTCTTTGCTGAACCAAAATATTTTCATAAAGCAAAGAAAGTTGGTATAACTGAAATGGTGAAAGTTCTTGAAGCAGACAAAAATATAACAACAAAACTTACAGATATTTCTAAAGGTAAGTTTATAATACAATATTATGTCAAAACTGGCGTACTGTCAATATTTGACGGAGAGAAGTCAGTTCAAGAACAACTTACTGACCTGCTGCCAAAATCTGCTCGATGGAAGCTGTCGTTATGCCAATCTGAGGAGCCCCAGCAGGTTTCATCGAACGAATCTTCAAAAGAGCATCTTCCGTGAAAAGTGCTATTGGTTTTGTAAACTTCTTTGCTCTCAATTCATCTGGACCGTCTCTGTCACCAGTATATTGTATTTGAACTGTACCAACAGTTGAAATACCACCCATAAAGTCTTCTGAGTCAGCAAATGGAATGCCAAGCCAAAAGTTTGAACGGTCTCCATTTGTATATTGAGTTTTTTGACCTCCTGTATGAGTCCATACTTTCACATATGGCATAATAGAACTTTGCATTTCAGGGTTAATGGTTGTTGTGAAGTTGTTGTTAAAGTTCATAGCATCTAATGTCAAGTTGTATGACCTCATATCCTCAACTGTAGAATATTCTTCTCTTGGATAATATTTGCCATCTATGTTTATATGATATTTAATACCAGGGTTGTAGAAACAAGAATAGTCATTTATAGTTCGTCTGAACAGTACAAACATAGTATCTGCATGTTTCATTGCAGTTGTTAAAGCAATATCCGTTCTTGCACCTGGGTCAGCACTTTGGTTTCCAACTTCACCTGCAAAGTCTTTGACAGATATTTGGTGTATAGGGAACATAAGTGGAACTGCAATATATTTGGCAGCTAAAGCATTTGAAATATCTGGGTCCAACATATAGACTGCAAGTCTGCTTTCTATTCTCTTGCATTCAAATTTTTCGCATGTGAACTTAACTGGGTCCCAAGCAGTTCCAGCAGCATTGAAATAATAGTTTACTTCATTGTTGAAGTTTGAGAAACCAAAGTCTAAGTCAACTTTGTCTTTGCAAAATTCGGCGAATGATTGATTTGTTCCCTTTACGTCTGTAAGAGTGAATGGGTCTTGTGTTGGTGCAATGACTAAGTTATTTTTGCTTGGAGTAAGTTCGATAGAAATTTTTCCTGCCCAGTTTGGCAAGTATCTTAAAAACCTGAAGATGAGGAAAGATGACAAAGGAACTCTAAGTTTCAGTTTTACTTTGGTTACTGCTGCTGCAGTTTGTCCAGAAAGGTTAACATAAACTCCTGGAACGTTAGGGTCAAGTCTTCTTATTTTCTCAATAGTTGCATACTGGTCTGTTTGTTCTCTAGCTTGTGGTTGTACTGAGTTTCTCAAAGCGAACCATTCATAGTTTGCCCATGTTACTGTTTGAACTAAGTCAGAGTTAGAATATATCTTATATCCCATGAAAACTTCTGGAGCATATTGGTATCCGACATAGAAAATTCCATTGCAACCTTTCTTGTCAGACAACTTGGCAGAAGGTTTTATTTCAATGTCTTGTTCCACGTATAAGAATGAGTTGTCAATAGAAATAATATGAAACCTGTCGCAAGCAATATCTACTGTTGTTGAAGAACCTTCTCCAAACTCACCTACGTTTCCATAAGAAACAGCAGTTGTATATTCGTAAGTTCCAGGAACTATTTCTGACCTTCTAATGGCATTGTCGCATTCGTTATACCATTCGGAAACATTTCCGTTCATGGCATCCAAAACTGTTGGCGTTATATTCTGAGCGGCGTACATTTCATATGGGTAAAAATATAGAATAGTTGGATTTATATGTCATAATAGAACCCACTCGGACCAAGCTTTACTTTCTTCCTGACTGAGTTTTTAACTCTTCTTTTTCCTTCATTGCCACTACTTTCACTAGATGAAGTTACTTCTTCACTACTTTCACTTTGTTCTACTCTTCTCTTCTTCTTTGGTGTCGCTTTTGGTAACTTGCCCTCTGCTTCAAGTTGTTGCATCTTTGCCTCATGTTCACCTAGTATGTTGTAAATTTCCCATGTCCTTTTTGCCTTTGGGCTCTGGTCGCCCATCTCAGGTAACCTATATCCTAGAAAGATTTTGTCATAGTTTGTATTTGAGTCTTCGCGTATTGTTTGCATGACTCTTTCCTGAGTTTCCGGTTCAAGCTCTTCAAACAGAGCTTGTCCATATGGAATAAGCTCGTTTCCAAATATATGTTTTTGTAGCCATTCTGGTTTTCTTTCCATGTTACCAATAATATCTTTTGTGAATGGGAAAGCTTTTACCCAATGTTTCAGTCTTGCGTCATTTATTTCTGTAGTTGGTTTTATTTTGTCAAGGAACATGTTTTTCAATACTAACATTTCATTTGGTACTGTCCATTTGAGTTTTCTTAAATATTCATCCCTTCTCGGTTCATTGTCTGCAAAGTAAGTTTTTATGACATTTTGTAAACTTTCGTTTGCAAGGTCATGTACAATAGGTTCTCTTCCTTCTCTCTCCCTAACTTTCTTTCTAAACTCTTCACCAAATATACCATCTCTATGGTTCTGTGTAGTTCTTTGAGATAAATGTTCTAGAACGTCAGGTGTTATATTTCCATCAGCCATGTTCATTTCATACTGGTCCAAAATATCTGCATCTTTCATATCTTTCAATGGCATTAAAGCCGCGCTGAAAATACCAGCTATATCTGGTTCACCATTCACTTCCATTGCGTCTACAACTTCTTGGAATTGTGGTTGTAAGTTTATGAACCACCTATCCGGATTAGCTTTATGACCCCATCTCATTGTAGTTCCATAGTCTGCAGAAACAAAAGTAGGTTTGTTTCCATATTGGTTAGGTTCTGAATGAACTTTAAACAATGTTTCATTTCTATATGTTTTGTTGAAATTTAACCTTTTATTTTCACCGAGTTCAGCCAAAGATTGAACGTTATATGGTCGTAAGTAAAAAGGATTATTGTATTTGCGTACATTTTCTTTCAGTACTTCCATTCTATGCTGAATATTTTCATCTGATGTTGGAGTCTTTTGTATGTCGGCGAACATTTTTCGATATTCTTCTACTATGTCAGCCGAATTTTTCTTAGACTCTTGGAAAGATTCCATATTCTCCGCATACTCTTGTTGAGGGTCAAGATTTTTCGGCTGTTCCAAATCTTCATCTAGTTCTGTGAAGTTAGTTTCCAAAGGAGGGATTTGTTCGTTTCCTTCAGGCTCTTCTAGCTGTTGTTGCTGAACTATTTCTTCCATGTCTGGTTGTATCTGAACTTCTTCCTGTTGAGTTTCTTGTACCTCATCTGGTGGCATTTCATATATTCCGAGACCGTTTTTAAAAAGTTCCCTATCTAAGTCATCCGACTCATAAACCTTTCTTCTTTCGTTCCGTCTCTATTTTTTACGCGTTTCATGAAGAGAGTTGAATTATCATTTAGCTCTGACATCAAATATCTCGGAGTAAATTCATCATGTCATTTGGATGATATGCTATTAAATCATATCCCTTAGCGAGCTTGTATTTTCCAGGTTTGAAATTATATCCCATTTGGTGCTGAACCATAAAGCTAAATAGGTTCGGGTCAGTATTTCCTTCCTTGAACTTTCCAATAGCTTCTTTATATCTGTCACTAAAGTCAAGAGTATCTGGGTAACCATAGTCTTCCTTAAGCATTTTTAAGAATTCTTGGTTTCCTTGTTCTCTACTTCTTTTATGTCCTTGCTCTGTTTGTGGTTGTTGTTGTGCAGTGTTTTGAACTGTTGGTTGTTGTGTGTGTTTTGAACTGTTGTTGTGGTGCTGGTTTTGAACTGTTGGTTGTGTGCTGGTTTTGAACTGTTGGTTTTGGTTGTTGTTGTTGTGCTGGATTTTGAACTGTTGGTTGTTGTGTTGGTTTTGGTGCATGCCTGTGTCTGTGTCCATGTGACGATGTAAATGTTTTAGGTAGTCCTGGTGCAGGTGCTTCTCTTGGAGGGTTTGGTGGTATATAAGTTCCACCAGCTGGCACATATGTTCCATCTGCAGCATAATGTCCTACCTGACTTTTCGTTTTTAAGAAAGCATTTACTAGGTCTGTTTTGGTCTGTTGTAACTCTTTTTCTTGACTTTCCACAACAGTTGCTCTAACGGCGTCATAGGCACTTTGAACTGCCTGTCTCGTTGCTGCATCTGTTATTTTCGTCATATTTTGTGCTACTTCTCTTAACTCTTTGTCGAAACCTTCAGACTTCAGTTTCTTTCCAGATGAGAAGTCGTTCACTAGTTTCACCTTACTATGAAGAGCTTCGAAGGCATTCTTAAAGTCAGCATTCATTAAAGCTTCATTTGAACTGTCTTCATCCGCTTGTATTTTTGTCCTTATTGACCCTATAAGTTGGGCTGCTTTAGCGTTGGCTTGGGCATCTAACCAGTCATTATTAGCTTTTATATATTCTGCGCTTTTCATTGCCTTTTGCATGGCTGCGTCGTTATTTTTACTTTCTTGTGCTAAGTTTTCATACTGTACGGTTTGGTTTTGCAACTGTAAAAGTTTTTCTGCCTTTACATTTGCTTCAACTTCTTTTTTATACTCATCGCTATCCATATATGTCTTCAGGGCTTTTTGTTTTATTCTTCATCTTTCAGTACTTTATATTGAGTAGTATGGTTTTTCAAATTTATAACATCTTGTTCCATTTTTGCTACTTCTGCTGCTTTTTCTGACACTTTTTTCGCATATTCCTCTGTACTTAGTTCTTTCAGTTGTTCTTCTTTCTTCTTTTTCTCTACGTTTAACTCATTGAGTTTCTTTGTGTGTCTGTCATATTCTAGTTTCTTTTCGTTTTCACTTATTTGTTTCTGTATGTCTATGTTTGACTTTTTGACATCTGTTATTTGATTTTTGAGTGAACTCAAATTCATTTGACTTTGAGGGTTATAAGCTGTTCCGTCTGCAGCTCCACCATAGCCTGCCATTTTCGCTAAAAGTGCCGCTCTTAAACCTCCACTCTGTGCACCAATAACTCGGTTTAAAAGCATAGGGTTGCTTGACATTTGTTGCAACATAGTGGGGTCATTCATCATTTGTTGTTGCAACTGTTGTTGTGGTGTCAGTTTTACTATTGGATGTTTCAATGCTCCTTCCTCTTACGTATATTCTTACGTAGCTTACGTGGCATTTTAAGTGAAGTTAAAAAGCGGTTTTTGACAGATGTTTATATGACACTTTTTGTTCAGCACAAAAAACTACTCGGTCAAAGTGTTGTCAGTTTTGTAAAATAACCGTCCTATCTCATTCTATAAGGGGAAAAGGCTTCTCAAAGTATACTTCCTTGGAACGCCTGTAACTTTTCCTGTAGCGACGATAGACCCTTACTTGTCCGGACAAAGTTATACTATTTTGAGTGCTCTACAAAAAAGTCAACGGCGACGACTCTCAAAAACCGTTGTGTAAAAAGTTTTACCGTTGGACAAAAAAGTATATATAGAAAACAAAAAACGTTTATAGTTCATTCAATATTTGAGATGGAACGGTTTGCCAACGGTAACTATTAAATAAAATAAAAAAATAGAGGGGGTTCCGTTGACAAAAACGTTTATTTTAAACTTTTCTATGAGTGGTCCGAAAAAAACAGTTCATTTTTCATAATGGAAGGAAGAAAAAGTGTCGCAAACAATTCGTCGACTACCTCTGCAGTTAAAGTTCCTACAACTTATGTCTCACCATTCTCAAAACCCTTACGACCTCCTATAATACCAAAGCAACTTCCTCATACAATTCAAACAAATTGTTGGACAATATGCATTTGCACAAAGAAACAGCTCAGCCAACAGGTCAGGCAACAACAACTATCGGAACAGAAGCATTTTCAGAAGAAGTTCATACCAATCAGACTCCAATCGAACATACAGAAACACAACCACCCGAAAATACAGAAACACATCCAATCGAACATACAGAAACACATTCTGCAATGACCACTAGGTCGCAAACACGATATCTCGCCTTTAGCAAACAATTTAAGTCTCAAATTCAAGACACACAAGATAGCGACACTCCTCTTTCAGAGAAAGTTCGTAGAAAATACGCAAAGAAAAGGTTAGAATTGTTAGATAAGTTAAATGAACAGTGGGGTTCAGAAGACAATCGAGATTATAACGAGATGTTTCAAGCTGTCATGGATGCCATTCAGCCACTTGAAAACGAAATCAAAGACCCTGGCGTACTTGTTGACATGTTTGCTTCATATTTACCCGTTACTGCCAATCTCATAGCGTTGCAAGCTATTGACCAGTTCATTCACTTGTTTCCAAAGAACTTGCAGAAGCATTTACAAGAAGTTAAAATTGCTGAATTTGTCCGTTTATATCCAAATTCATACAATTATTTGGAAGAATTGAATGAACATGGTGAAAGGTCATTCTATTTATATTTCTACACAAAAGACAACCAGTCAAAACGACTATACTGCATTGAACCTATGCCTCAATTCTTAGACAATTTCCACGTTATAACAACTGTTGCTGTAGATATTCCTGCCAGAGTTCCATATGGAGGAACAGTAACTATCTCAAGCTTTCCCAAGGGCTATAAAGGAAAGCCTCTCACAATTGCAAAATTCACACACAGCAGTTGCCAATTTGTTCAAGATGTCGAGTTCCATTTCCTCAACAATACGACTTTCATCATAGAGACTCCTCAAGAAGGTATATACAAAGTTTTCATCGCAGGATTTGTTGCTCCCAATGGCGAAGAAGAAGTCGAAGAAATCCTCACCTCAGAGAGCGAAGAAGAAGAAAATTTCCAAGACATTCAAGATTCAGAATATACCGAATAAAAAAAACAATTTAAGACTAAAAATTTAATTTTATTATCATATTTTTATTTTTTTCATCTGGTCTTTGTATCATTCCTCCTCTAGTTTCTCCGGGGCTAGAGGGCGCAACGCGCCTGGAAGCCCCACTTACCTGACCTGTTTATAAAGAAAGATCTTGTAATTAAGGGAACACCAAAAACGATAGGTGGTTTTCAAAAATCAGGGAAAATTTTTTTTATGAGTCGTCAGCAAGTATCAAACTCGAAGCTGGAGAGGCTTCTTGAGATCTTGCGTAGCTCAGAGTATGCCTTTCATATTAAAAAGGCAGCAGCAAAACAAATCGGCCTCTTACAAAAGGAATTTTCTTACGAGTTAAGTTTTTTATTATGCAAATTATATCCTCTTATAATGTATATAAACTATGATACTCGTTGTGCTGCTTCATTATCAGTTGGATATCTTATTCCGCAATGCAAAGAAAAATCGAAATCTTGGAATGTTGACAGAAACTATGGAAAATTAGAGGAATTTCATGTTTCTGACATTCTAAACGCCGAAGATTGCCAACTTCTACGAACAACTCATATATCTGAGACTGAATTACCGCAAGATTATCAAAAGCAAGTTTTTAACATTCATGATGAAGAATGCTCAGAGCTTTGCCAATTCTCTGAACAGTTAATTACCCAACTTGATTCACAGGATTGGTTTTATCGTCATGGAGCAATTATTGCATTGAACGAAATCTTTAAAGGATTGAAGTCTATTAATGAGCTAGACTTATTACCTCATTTCTATTTTGAAGATTTATGCGTTAGATTAGCCATATTAATTTGTCGGGATAGATTCGTTGACAATTCAGTTTCGCAAGAAGTAATTTTACCAGTAAGTAATGAAGCTTGTAAACTTGCTGCAAACATTTTCATAAATCATAAGGAAAATTGCATTAGAATTATTGACGAATTACTGAATACTTCAACAATCAACTTAAAACTATCTGCATGGTTATTGATTAAATATATCTCGGAAATTGACAATAAGTTCTTCGATTATGATTGGGTTTATGCTCATTTCAGTTCTTCAATTACAGAAGCTCATGAAAACCATCAGTATCATGATGTAATTACATACTCAATTGATGCTATATACAATTCAGTGGAGAATATCAAGCATGCATCCGATTTTGCTGAAATTATCTGGAACGAATTTATGAATTTTGAACCAGATCATTCATTCAATGCGAATGTCCTTAATTACACAGCTAAGTTACTCCAAAAGTGCGATGTTTCATATTTTGCTACAAATGAAGGACTTGCAACAATTTTTAAATGTATTCTCGAAGGGAGTAGGATCGATGGAATTGTTGAAACGCGTGAAGCAGCCTATTCTTTGCTATCATGTGCATTGGACAAAGAGTTTCTTGATATTTGGCAAGAATATGATATGCAAGATCAAATTCAGCAATTAATCGAACTCAACCTAAATGAAGGATTTCTTAATTCCAATGCACTAAGTCTATTTAATTAATTGCCAAAGCTTTTAGATGCAAATGGTATTGAATTTGGTCCTGATCATCTGATAAAGTTTTGCCAGTTTATCACATCTGATCCAAAGCACCTAGAAAAGATCAATAAAGTAATGATTGTTCTTATATCAATCGGCAAACTTATTAAAATTGAGCCAAATGAAAAAATTATGTTTCGATTTTGGCAAGATGCAAATGAAAAGAATAATATATACATAATTTGTTATGCATATATGACATGTCTTTCAATGCTGACGAATGAACCCAATTTCAATGGAATTTCCATAAATGCTCTCAGAAACAACACAATAATGTTTTTGCGCTCATTGTTTTCATTTACTCCTAAAAATATAAATGATTACATTCAAATGATTCAGGATATTGAAATTCCACCATTCAAAAAGTTTGGTATCGAGTATATATCAACAGCAATTAAAGAAATGCAAGATTCTAAACAGAAACAGAAAATCATCAAAAAATTAATTGATCAAGAAATTTAAGGCTATAGAGGAGTTATATTCCCTCCCTTACAGAATAACAGTTATGCCACAGCATGGACAAATACATTCAGATCAAACAAATATCATGAAATCTTAATTCAATCCACAGATGTTCCACCTTCATCATTGAACAGCATTCTTCATTCCTTCATTGCTTGAAAATATGTATAAAAGCAGTCAGATAGCCACTCGTTATATTTTCCATGCATTGGCAAATGCAATCAAATATTTGCCTCTTGATAATATTGATGATTTGAAAGTTCCTGAGAGTCTTATTGATCTTAAGAAACAATCTTTAGAGAAGTTGGAACCGCTATTTAATCCATCTCTGACTACTCCTTTTGTAATCAAACCAGATCCAACCATCAAACCTTTAGACTACCAGACTGATGGTATAAATTGGTTAGGTTTTCTCTTTGGATTCGGATTTAATGGAATTCTGGCTGATGATATGGGACTTGGTAAAACATACCAGACTCTATGTGCAATAAGTACATATCATTATAATTCAATCAATGATAGTCCAAAATCATTGATATTTGCTCCAACAAATGTCATTTATCATTGGGCTTCTGAGGTACAGAAGTTTTTCTCGTGGTTGAACACCATTAAAATAATCAAAGGTGATCAACTATCATCTATAAATATCAATAATTTCACAGGATTGATTATCACATCATACGGATTGGCAAGACATTTCACTAATCTAAAAGTAACTTTCAAGTTTATTGTTCTTGATGAAGGTCATTTAATAAAGAAACCAGATTCGAAGAAAGCCCAGTACATCACAAATTTATCATCAGAGCATAAACTTATTTTGACAGGAACTCCTATTCAAAATGGACCAATGGATCTTTGGTCATTGTTTAACTTCCTAATGCCAGGATATCTTGGAACCAAAGAAAGGTTTGTTAAACTTTACAAGAATCCAATTGATAAAATGTTCGATAAAAATGCTTCAGAACAACAAACAAAGCAAGGCGAGAAAGCTCTTGAAGATTTGCATAGCCAAGTGCTACCACTAATTTTAAGAAGACTTAAAACCGATGTACTCAAATCATTACCACCAAAAATACCGAACATCGAATCTGCTTTTCTCTCTGATATTCAAAAGAAAATTCTTGAAGCAAAAAGAAATGAGTATGAAACTAATAGAATATCAGAATTTGAAAAGCAAGATTTTGAAATGAAGCTCAACATTCATCCAGAACTTGTTGAACCGACATGCAAATGTATAATTGAAGAATCTGGAAAACTAGTTGCCTTAAAACATCTCCTCCATAGAATTGGTTATGGTAAAGATAGAGAAGGAATTTTGAGAAGAAAGGCTGTAATTTTCTGTGAATCAGAAGAAGCAATCAACATGATCATTAAGTATGTTATTCCAACCCTAGTTGACACTGAATACATTCAATTTTCTTCATCAACAGATATTGCAGAAAATGCAAAGAAGATTGAAGAATTTTCCAAAGAAGATGGACCTGATTTATTCATTGCTACAACAACTGCAGCAGCTCATGGAATTAATCTTACATCTGCAAGTATAGTGATATTCTTTGAGCTCAATTGGAATCCAAAGATTGATCTTCAGGCTGAAGATAGAGTTCACAGATTAACTCAAACAAAGACTGTTGATATATTCAAAATTGTAATGATCGACACAATTGACCAAAGAATTATTGAAGCACAAGAAAGGAAAGATAAGATTGCAAATGGTGTAATACACGATCAAAATTCAATCAATCAGATGGATACAACTGGATTGAATAAAGCAATTTCTGGAGAAATGAATGAAATGCCAGAAAAGGAACCTACTTTTAAGCAATTACTTAGAGCAGATATCAAGTATGATAAAGATTCATATTCCCAAATGAACCATTAATTTTAGCTTTTAAATGAATCTTATTGTAAATAAAAAGATATTATTTTCCAGAAGTAAAACTTGTAATAAAACTTTTTTCTCTTCAATATGAAATAAACAACTTTATAATTTATACATATCAAAATGCTTATGAATTATTTTCTCTTTTATCAATAAGTGTAGCCAAATAGATACTAAAGAAGAATTCAGTAAAAACACTATATCTTTCATGGATTGAAATTCGATTAATATAGTGAATAAAAATGGAATAGCAAAATATTCATGTTAGAATGAACCAATCTGAATATCACTAATTCATAAAGGATATCATGCTCAAAGTATGAAACGCGGTAGTGAAATAGAGTTCAATATTTCTATTTCATCTGGTGAGAACTATTTTAAAAACACAAAATCACTTTATAAACAAAAAATATTTTTTAATACAAAACAAAATGAAAAAATTATATTTGAAGGAGATCGATTTCATTTTTAAGAATTTCAACGCTTCCGAAGACTTCTACAGCGTTGAATGTAAAGATCAAATCGTCATTAGAGTTCGGACCATTCATTTTCCATCGGAATGTCGAAGCTCCTTCATATTTTTGCTTCAAATGAAATTGATAAATCTTGTTAGGCACCATTTCAGAAACCATTTGCTCATCTACGGTGTCATATGTCTTACCATCCTTGCTGCATTGAAAAGAAAAGCTAAATGGCAACTGATAAGTGAATCCTGTTTTGATATAATAATCTGTTACATCTACCTTGATATTTGTAAACATAACTGTAACAAACTGGTCTAGAGCTGCATCAGAAACAAATACTTTGTCATCTTCATGGTTAATTATGCATGCAGGATGAGGATAATCTTGGGTTTCAAAAAGTCCCGAAGAACTGTATACTTTGGCATAATCCCTGTACGTAAATAAAATTCCTTTATTAGGATGGCTTGGATTATACTCGATTTTAGAGTTCGGAAGTTGAACAAGGTATCTATATGATAAACTTGAAGGTTTTTGCTGTAATTTTGGTAATGCAAGTAATTTCTCCATTATCTCTGGAGAAGAAATGAGGTCATACTTCTTGATTAAGTTTCCATAAGTCACAAAAGTAGATTTTGTAAGAAATTCGGGTTGTATCGAAAGTAAAATATGCGAAACTGGTTCACCAAGGGCATTTATAAGACTGTAAACAATATTAAATAGTTTTTCTTCACTAGAAACGCGAATTGACGAATTAAAAATTTTGATAATTGTTTTTGGAGAAATATTTGATTCTAAAAGAGAATGATAAACATCCTCAATGTGAAGAGCAGCAAATTGAATGGATGCTTGATAATCTTTAGAATTTTTATCTGATAAACATTCAATGCATTGTTCAACTGTAATATCTTTGATTTCTTTCGCAAATACATGAGTTTTACTGGAATTTTGGTCATCAAACAAATCTTGTAATAAAAATGATTTTTGATTTAAGGATTCTAAAAGATTTAAATCTTGCTCAAGAGTAAATTTTTGTACTTGTTTGTCTATTTTTATTGATTTGATGAGTGGATCAGATCTTAACAAATATTGAAATTTTCTAAATTGCAACGCAATTTTTAAAGGCAATTCATAAGTAAAATCGGGGAAAATTACTTGTATCGTGTTTTGATGTATATCTTTTGTTTGTATATCTCGAGTAAGACTGATTTTAGTGAAGTTTTCTGTCATTTCCAAAAAAATTTCCAATATTGTGTCACTTTTTCTTGCGAAGTAACTCTTATTCAAGAAAACCCCACCATTTAATATACATATCAACTATACATCACGAGTTCCAGTAAAAACATTATGAATTCTTTAATTTTAAATACAATCTAAATACGACATTTAGAGAAAATGAAATTTTTCAATCAGTGTCAACGTTGTAGCTTATTTGCTAGATTACTATTTTAACGATTAGATTTTCATATCTATGATGCTCAAATTTAGTGTTTTTTAATACATTCTTTAGGAAAATTGTAAATAATTTTGAGTAAAATATTGTTACAACATGCAATAAAAGAATAATTAATATAAGGTTTATGGCCAAATAAATTAAATTTGAATTGAAAGAAATAAACCAAGAATAAATAAAATGCTTGTATCTCAAAAAATCAAATCGAGGAATATAAACAAAATTTAATATAAATATATTTATCGTCATTGAATTATAAAATCTTTCATATGCGATAAGAAATTATATGTAAGGATTATCAAGCAAAAATTATTGAAAATAATTTGTTTGAAAAATAATGCAGATAAATTATTCAAAAATTGAATTCTGTGTGAAATTAATGCACGTTAAAGTAATATTCTTATTTATATTTAACTATATAATGTAATAATGAAAGTCTGTAAAATTTAAATTCAAAACACTTTTGATATCAACATCGTTGTTTTGAAATATCAGGAAATAAAATTTAATTTTTTATTATTTTTTAACTCTCTGTAATCATCTAATAACTCTAAATTTTTAAGAGGTTTATGCAATTAAAAAAATGAAATTATTGCTGTTTTTCTTGCGTTCTAATATATGCACCGCTCCGTCATTCATTAGTAAAGATACAAGGTATGTATATGAAATTGGCAATATAACATCATATTCAAATGTAAATTTCAAAGAAAATCAAACAATATTCTATCTTTTAAGTACTATCTCAATATCAAACTGCAATTTCAGCAATAACACGGCTTTTGGTAGACATATCGAATCAAGGGACGGTGGTGCAATTCTTGTTCTCAATTCCTGCTTAACAATTATTAATGGGAAGTTTGAAGCTTGTATGGCTGATTACGGAGGTGCTATTTCATCTCAATCATCTGATACCTTCATGTCTGGAGTTACTTTTAAAAATAATAAAGCATTCAAATTTGGTGGCGCTGTAATGGACTATAGTTCAAAAGGCTTTGAATTAGATATAATCAATTGTACTTTTGATGGAAATGTCGCTAATTACTATGGCGGAGGAATTTCTTGTAGCAATATTAGAGATATAGATATTCACCAATCGAAATTTTACAATAATACTGCTGGAATGTCTGGAGGAGGCCTTCATATTTGGTGTTGTCAAAGTATATATTTATATTCAACAGAATTCAAGAATAATACAGTTGAACAAGATAAATTGGTAGTTAAATCTAATAATAATAGTATACCTAAATTTTACAATGATGAAAACATTATTTCTAGATTTCAACCAAAAGGAGGAGGCGCAATCTTTATATCAAGCAAAGCAACATTTGATGAAGTATATACTTGGGTTGATGCATATCAATTATGTTTCCGGGGAAATAAAGCAAGTTCATTTTCAACAAATAATCCAAGAGGTGATAGCCAACTTATAAACGGAACCGGAAATACAATAATGCTTAAAGGTACAGTATGTTTTAGGATGAGATTTTCCAATGTTCCGGATGAAATTTTTAATAATAGAAACGAATTCACAATCGATTCGCAAGCAAGTATCGAAAATGCTCACTCTAAAATGGAAACTTGTCCTAAAATGGAAAGTGACGGATTGCCTTATCCAACTACTATTTACAAATATCCTCAAATTAAGAACAAAAATAATGAAAGTATTACAAGTTATGTTCCAAGTCCTACTGGATATACATACTATGCAACTAGAATTACCAAAGATTATCAGTATCCAGATAAGAATCTAATGATTACAGCCCAAAAAAACTATACTCATGTTCCTTTCATTAATGAGACTCATTCATCTAAAATTTCAGCACCTGCAGCACCAAACGGAAGTAGTTATTCATATACTTTAACTATTACATTAGTTGAGATTGAATCTGGAGTTTACACACTTTCAAAAACGCTTACATACAAAAATGAAACACTTACAGTAACATTTATTCGATATTATTACACATTTCGAACTTTAATTGAAACAATTACTGAAACTTTGATCTTAATCCAATTTCAAGAGGACATTCCTTCATCTAAAACTCCGGTTTCGAAAATTATTTTGATTTCTACTCTTGTACTTGCAAGTGCTTTGATTTTGGCGATGATCGGACTTTTCCTCTATAGAAAGAACAGAGAGGCAAAAGAAGATGATGATGACGACGAATCAGTAAATGATACCTATAATGATAACTATGAAACTAGAACCGAAGCGATTTTGGAGTTGAGTGAAGGAGATTCGATTGATAATGAGGATCCAAATTTCGCTGAAGACCAAAGATACTTGGAAAATGATTTCTAATGCTGATATTATTTATACATTCATCCTTTTTCACCCTTGTTTGCTTAATATTTTATATAAACATTCACTTCTTTTCAACTAATGTATTAATGCATTGTGTTTGAACTTAATATTATTATTCAATGTAATTTCTCTATAAATATATATTATGAAAATAAGACAAAATTTCACACGAATTTGGACAAAATATTTTGCATCATTATTCAATCTATTGCACATAAAATTCGTTTAGTGTTTTATTAATGATATCCGGATGATATTTTTAGTCCAAATCATGTCTATCAATAATATATTCTATTTTTAGAGGATGTTACCTCGGTTTTTTCTGGAGTGTTGATGAATGATATAAAAACTCTTTCAAATAAATGCATTATTCGGGATTTGAATTTTGAAATTAGGTCAATTCCCAATTGAAATGATGTTTTTATATTTACGTGATAATTTTATGCTCATTGCTTCATTATTATAGTATATAAAGAAGTTCGCCTCTCAGAAAAAAAAAATGTCGAGGAACGTTCCACAGGCTCCTATAGCCAGTGTTACGACTCGTATCATCGATTTACCATTATTACAAATGGAAAACAAAACATCGGAATTCAAACTCGAAACTCTTCACCAACCTCTTCACTTGAATCCTGCCAATTTCCAATTCAGCTTTACAGGAACAAATGCATGGTATTCTGGAGTTGAAATGGCCGTAGCAGTTCAAGCAAATAATATTCGCTTTCAAGCAATTAGAGATGCCGTTCTTCATATCCATGTTTATCTAAATCGTCAAGAAATATATAAATCAAATACATCATCACCAGCAGATATAATGCCGCAACGAAATTTGTCTCACGTTTTCAGATTCAGACCATTTATTCCAGGAGATATGCACATTAGAACAGCAATTAAAGGATTATTCAACTCACAACCATTCGAGGTTTCCGATACTATTGTCGTTAAAATCATTCCATCATTCGATATCCAAACAAGAGCAAGTCACAAGCAAATTGTTGAAGTTAAAATGCGAAATGACATTCCGATTGGTGTTACAAATATTACGCTCTCAGGTTCTAATGGTGAGAAGATGTTTGTAACAGATAGAATGGAGCCAGGAAATGTTTATTGCGGAATTATCAAAATGCTTGGAATTTCGAAAGATGTTACAATTAATTTCGACCTACCATTCGGAAAAGACTGTGTTATGAAAGCAAGCATACAACAAGCACCAAGCGAACCTCATTATCCTTTGAGTTTCGAATTTATTGGTATACCACAATCTTATAAATGTTTTAAGCCATTTGATGCAACAATTAAAGTTACAAACCATGAAAAAGTGCCATTATCCGGAAAAGCTCAAATTGAAACAAAGAATCAAGGAATTTATCCTCACGGATCGACTCAGTTCGAAGTAGAAAAGCTAGAACCAGGTAAATCAACAGAAATACATATGCAATATGTTGGAATGATTCCAGGAGTTCAACAAATTCCTCCAATTAACTTTACTATTGCCCAACTTCCTCCTTTCAAGATTACACCATCTTGTGGAGTCATTTTGATTGGAACGGGTGACTTAGATTGAATAAACTATTTGATATATTTATATGTCTCAAAAAAACTCAAGAAAATCTTTTGTTTTAAAAACACCTTATTAACTTAAGTCAAAACAATTGCTATCATTGATTTTATTTCTTCAAAAAATAAATAATCAAAATATCTTTACGAAATATGTTGTCCCGATCTATTAATTCTATTGTAAGTGCTCATTCTGATAATATCCAAAATATATACACTATTATGAATGATTGTATAAGCTAATAATCTGATATTTCGTTGTTTTTTGAAAAAATAATTTTGAAATGCTAAAACTCGATCATTAACATTTGAAGTGTTGTATGATAAAAACAATGCAATAAAAAATCAAGAGAAGATAAATATATTTAACATTTTACACTTTAAACAAAAACTTTAATATCTACTGCTCTTTAATCTATCTGTTTTGATGGCACCAGACTCGTACTCAAAGAACTTCTCGTACTGAGCCAAAGATCGATCATTTGTATAAGGTCGGCCAGACCAAACAGCTGTAACTGTGACTAATACATCGTACGGAGAATTGTTGTGAAAGCCACTTGAAATATCTTGTACAATTCCTTTTCTAATATCTAATTCTGTTTTAAAAGCATCTAATAAAGGGTAAACATACTTTGGAAAATCGTCTGGATCGGCTGATTTTATAACAGGATGTGATTGAACTATTGAATCTATAGTTGTTTTAAGCTCATCGTAAATTCCTTGGAAAATTTCGATTGTTTTTGGTAATTCTTCGATTGATTTCATAATTTCCATATCATTTTCGTATTTTAGCATTTCTTGAAGGTTTGCATAATCGCTTAATTCCCCAAATTCTGATGGTTCGAATGAATCAATATGCTGACCGAAGATTATTTGGTTGATAATTATCTTTATAATTCCCTGTGCAGTCGCATTGATTTGAGTGTACCATTGAGATTTCAAAGATTTATACTGATCATAAAACTTATCCATCAATCAATAAGAAAAAATGAAATTCAAAAGGTAGATATAGCCTAAGTTGATATAACAGGAATAGATACAAGTATTTTAATGGATCAATTCTTCGATTTTTTAAGTTGAAAATTATGGAAATAAGTATAACTAGAGTCCAAGTATCAAATTTTGAAATAGTTAATTACAAAAATATAACCTAATATCAAAGTTTATATCAAATAAAAATTAAAAAAATCCTTTGGATTATTGAAGGAAAGGAAGAAGGAATTCGTATTCTGAATGTCCCTCAATAAACTGCTTGATTTCATCTACTGTAATCTTTGAAGGATCTGTTTCATGAAAATGTTCTAAAACTTCTTCAATAAAATATTGAACAGAATCAACAAACAACCCTGGAAGGTATTCTGAGTAGCTTGCGTGTTTTGTTCCAGAATCAAGTAAGTCCTTCAAGCATTGAAGATCCTCAGCCATTTTTCTAAACGTCTTTTCAAAGGAGAACTTCATCGACAACAAAGATATCGACCAAAACTTTTCCCATTATGCTTAACATATGAAGAATAGTAATAGTGTGTATGGACACATAGAAAGACTTTCGTTTGAATTATAGATATTTGATAATGCAGATATGATCTTCTTAAGTATCTGTATTTTACTTGGCAATGCAGGAATTTTATCGTATTTGGAAGATTAAACGAAAAATATCGCCCGAGAGGAGCAAAATTCGATATTAAGTAAGTAAATTGATTATTGTTTAGAGTGCTTTCAGAAATTTTTACATTTGTATATAAAATATGCACAAATTAGGATTTATAATTAAAAATATTTTTCGATATCGGCAAATAAATCGTTAGATCTTAGATTTTATTAATCATTTCTCCCTACAATGAGATTGTAGTAATAGTAACTGTGTATGATAGTTGGAGTATAGTTAAAATAGGCGAAATTTTGATAAGTTTCAAAAACAATTTATAATATGTTCGAATATTTTATAATTTAATAATTTGTGATTACATTGTATGTATTTCCCAACGGGAGCCGTCGGATTCCGTCGTTGTGGATGATTACGGTTGAGAAAAAAATGTAGTTTTTATTAACGAATTTTGAATTTTGCAATTTTTTTGGAATTTTTTGAGGATGATTAAATAAGCATTTATATTCCTTTTTTGAAAAAGAGTCTATTTTTCTTGTTTTAAGGAGATTTGGTTTTTTATGCAACAATTGGTGCTTCACGCCAATAACCTATCGTCAATCCGTGTTAATCCGTGAATTGTGAGTAGTCTCCCGTGACGGCGTCACTTTTTCTCCGCAAATTTGAGAGAAATCTCCCGTAACGGGAGAAAATATACGTTTTTTCTCTCAAATATTTCATCCGTGAATTTTTTTTTGCTCTCATATATTATCATACCCTATGGATAGATCTAAGCATTAAAACTTTTTTTAGTTGAGTGAGAAGAAATGATAATATGTTAATATAGAACATTAGAATATGATAAAGATACACTCATATCGCGATATTTTGAAAAAAAAAATCGGATAAAAAATAAATATTACTATTTATTCGACGAAACAAAAATTAATAGCTTTCCTTATAAGAAGCACGCTTCAGAGACATTATCTAATTCTGGATAGAAGAACTTTGGAAGTACTGCATTGAATGTAGGACTTCGAAAGTTTTATCTCTAATGACGTATTTAAAAGCTTCTGGTAACTATAATTGTAAATTTGGCCGAGATGCTCAAAGTTCTTCTGTAGCCACTCATTGATTGAGAAGCAATAGAAGAATTTTAAGTGTGGGTAGTATACTCGCATTCTTTGATCCATAATGGACAAATAATTGTATGTTCTAGACATAGTAAGGTAAAGTTATTCTAATGTAAATTAATAAATATGTAACATTGGAACAATCTTACCCTACTATGCTATAGATTCGGTTGATTGCTTACTTCGAATGATACTTCATGCTAATATTGAAATTGATAAAGCTTTATGTGAATACTAATAATAATGATAAGTTAAATTTGAATAAACTGTGCGACAGGTAAAGTAGCAAGCGAGATTATTTATTGTGAAAGAATAGTTTTGAAATACACATGCTCGGCTTACGCCGAGCGAATTAAAGTAACGTACGATTTTTAACGTACAAAAAAAAAACGCGGCGGACAGCAGGGATAAATTCACGGCAAACGGTAGGCTTTTTATAAAAGTTGGGAAATGCATATTACATTGACTATAAGCAAACGATCTTAAGCGATTGATGAAAATCGATGTCAATAATTAAAATTTTCTAGGCTTTTTGATTGAACACCTGGAATAAAGTTCTCCTTGGTGAATTTCTCCAAAATTTTTCTCTTATAGAGAATGCCTTAGAAAATTTAGGGAAAATGAATACGTTTTAATTATCAATTTTTTTCAAGGGTTAAAAATTTTAAATTTCTGTATAAACAAAGCATTTTTATTGAGTTCCAAATCACTGACACCCTTTTATTTTTATTATTCTATATTTTTTACTAAAATACGTCAATTATACAGCAGAATCAAATCATTATTTTTCAATGTTATAGAAAAGAAGCACATTTTCAAATTTTTAAATCAGTTATAGTTTAGCATCAAATATAATATATAACTCTATATAGTAACCAGGTATTATTAGTAATATAAAAATATTTCTGGTTCATATATAGGTTTTGTTTCACATGTTTAGAAACAATAGTAAACATCTAGAAAACAATCAATAATATCATGATTTTATTCACAAATTTCAACCCAACTTTATATTGTGATTTGCATTTCGAAATGTTTAAAACTCTCAAGTCTAGACTTCTCATCATAATCATGCAATCAACTAGCAACTTTAATCTGTATCTCATAATCAAACAAACAATTTGTGATATATTTGAACATACTATAAATCTTTTTTGAAACTTATCAAAATTTTCAAACTATCATACACAGCTACTATTACCACAATCTCATTGTAAGGAGAAATCACATATGTATATACATACTTCATATACATTGGAATTTAATATTATATGATTACTTAGCTTTGCTTAATAATGTATTTATCTAATAATAATGATGTAATACTATATCATAATGACTATTCAATCTGTTGTTTCACTATCGTTTTAAATTTATTGGTAATACCTAAAGTTGCTAATGTTGCAATGTTGCAACATTAATGCCAGATATCATGAGTTGAAGATAGAATAATTGGATTTTTGCAATATATATTATTTTTGTTATGGAACGATTCCAATTCGATGATCAGGTAAAGCAGAAACAATATAATTAGGTATCACTTTTTTGATCTAAAAAATGCATTTCCATTTTTTAAAACTCATAGTTATGTAAGCCAACAGTGTTATGGTTACATAGCAAAAAAAAAAGATATTGAATGCAATTTCTTATGTGATCATAGTTTTTATCGGTAAACTAGATAATTCGGCAACCATCATCTTCATATATGATTACAGGCTCTGGTTTAAAGAAGTTTTCAGTCCTTGTTCCAGGAATTTCGATTTCTTCACCTACACTGATCTCTCCATCTGCTGATGTGAAAACTTTTCGTTGGAAATCAGCTTTGATTGTTTTATGTCCTTTTCCTGATCTCTCTATCCACTGTCTTGTGTAAACAACTTCAACTTTTTTATTAGAGCTTACTCGCCTTTTACGACGATTAATCTCTCCCCATTCACCACGCGTAATTTCACCTGTTCGATAATTTGTAATAATCTCTCTGACTCTATCAACTAAGACTTCATATTTGATTCCATCTTCGTATGTGTATGCTAAGAATTCATTCAGTTTCTTTTCTTCACTGATCTCTGAAATGACTTCTTTGTACTCTTTGATAGTTGTCCAATTCGAATATGATGGCATCTCACCTGAAGTATTCGAAATAAACTTGAGTCTTGCTCTATCACAGAATTTTTCGAAAGTTTGTTTTCCTTCTGTGAAAGTTCCAAGACTGACTTTTGTCTCAGTTTCTTTCTGCATTGTATATCCAAATGATGCATCTTTTATCACCGAAGACTTGAACTTTGGAAGTCCGAGAGCCCAGTTATGGAATTTATTCATATTTTCAATCACAAAGTCCTTTTCAGGTTTACGAGCATTAATATAGTACAATGGAATGTCAGGAATTGATTCTTCTTTCGATATCTCTTTCAAGTAATCAATAATATCCCTCTTATATTCTGTCTTTTTTATTTTCCTATCTGGGAATTTCTTTGAACAGAATGTGAACATTATACAAAGATGTGCTAGTAAATTCTTTCCAAATGCATCATAAACAAATTTAATATCATTTTTAACTCCTTTTGTTATTCTGATAATATGTGCAGGTACAACGATTACAATTGCATTAATTCCAAGATCACAACATCTGAGCATCTGTGTCAATCTTTGAATTTGGTCTTCTGGGATCTGATCCTTATCATCAAATCCTTCTGTATCAATCACACATCTCGTAATACCATCTATTTTGTTATGATGAAATGCTGGGAAAAGTGTGCATGCATCTGGCTTTTCGCTTGTATCGAAAGCATTACTCTTTAGATATAAGTTTCCTGTTGCACTCTTTCCAGAACCTGTATCACCAATGAACAATACAGTGACATTGTTATCTTGTTCCATTTTGAAAATGAAGTGAAATACTAAAAAACCAAATCTCTCAATTTTTCATCACATCATACATTCAACACTGCGAAGTTCTCATATTTATTAATCTTATTTTCAAATATAATCGATAAATCGATAGTAATTTTTTTTAAATAACCATCATCAATTGAAATTTGTGAGTATTAAAATCATAATTAATTTCTATTGTTGGATTTAAATATTCTTTTAACAATGATATAGAATGTTATTCATATGGCAATTGTGAAGTTATATTTTGAAAAATTTCCACCATCTACTGAAATTTGAGTTTTATGAATCATAATACTTTTTTTCAATAATAAATGATGATGTTAAGCAGAAATATATCATGAAAATATGATTTTTTTACAAAATTTACCACATCAATTGAATTGTATATTGGTAAATATAAATTCTTCGATAAATTCTTCCCATCCAGATATGGCAGTTGTGAAGTCATATTTTGAAAAATTTCCATCTTCTATTGAAATTTGTGAACTATTCATTATAATAATTTCCACTTCATTTTTTATCTGATTGATGCTTGAAGTTAGACATATCATTCTAGTTGGAAATACTGGAGCAGGAAAGTCATCTGTTGGAAACGTGATCTTAGGAAAAGAAGTTTTTGAAACTTCAGAATCATCAAGAGCATGTACAAAAGAACCAGAAAAGAGAATCGAAAACATTGGTGGACGAGGACTTACAGTTATTGATACCGAAGGATTCAATGATGATCAGAACGATTCAAACGAACAGATCCAAAAACTTGGTAAATTTATGCGCGAAAAGATCAAAGGAGTCAATGTTGTTGCTATTGTTATCCCATTTCGCAATGCAAGATTTTCACAGAGTGTCATTGACACAATCAAATTAATTTATGATATTTTCCAAACTGATGAAATAATTGATCATTTGTGCATCATTTTTACATTTTATCGTTCTAATTTCGATAAGAATCTCAAGGAAACAAATTTCAATGATGAAGTCAGAAATTACTTGAAAGAGATTTCGAAGAAAGAAAATATTCCGAAGATTCCTATGTTCTATCTCGAAACAAGAAAGAAGGACATGAAAATCATGGTTGATGAAACGAATAAGTTGCGTCAGTTCATATTCACGAAAACATTAGTTGAAACTAAGAATGTCAGAGATGCCAAATATGGATTCACAGAAAAAATTGAATATGAGCGACATGTTTCACAAGGTCAATATCAATCAGATGATAACACGTATGAGAGATTCATTGATCGACAGAGAGTAATGAGAATTCCTAACAATGGAAAACCTCCGACATATGGAGAATGGCAAACGACAAGCACATATTCCGAACCTATCATTGAGAAAAAAAAAGAAATATTTTGATCGATTTGTTGGTTTTGATATCGATGGAGATTGCATGTACAAAACTTATGAAGATGGATATTACTGGATTACGAAAGACCATCGTACTGGTCGCACAGATAAATCATGTAATATTAAGTTGAATAGTTATAAAATATTTCATGCAACCGGTGAACGAGAACGTGATACTCGTATAAGAGAAATATATAAAGGCCAAGATCAATGGAATACTTATTACGCCAGATTTATCGAAGAAAGGTATAGAATTATAGATGTCGATGGCAATATTTCATATTCAACTTGGAGTATAGTTCCTGGATCCATAAGCATATACTCAGTTGCAAGGCAAGCATTTTATAATAGAGATGGCTATGGTTGTACAATAGCCTGAAAATATTATTTAATTTATTATGATATCGTTTTTGTTTTTATTAATTTATGTGTAAACAAATGAAATTTTGAAGAAAATAAAGAACAATGCAAAATGATTTTAATATAAGTATAAGGTCGCCAAGAAAAAGTGCTTAAATTAAAAACCGCAGTTTGAGTACTTTCTGAGAGTCTGTTTGTCAGAAAGTATACATTTGTAAACTTTCTGACACTAAATTTTTTTTGGTCCTTTCAAAGTTTTTGACAATGTCAAAAAAGTATACATCGGGACTCTCAATTTTCCTCTCAAACGGCGGTTTTTAAAAACGCTCAATTTTTCATCGACCTTAATGTCAATATTCTGAATTTTTGAAATGCTTCATTATAATATAGAGTAGTAAAGATAATATTTACAAACAAAATAAAAAATTAATTTAAGTTGATATACCAAGAGCTTTGCAAACAGTTTGAGTTGATGACATGTCAATGATTGAAACAAGTTTATCAATACATAACATGATAGATTTATCAACATTTTCTCTATCAATAACTTTGATCGAATGATGAAGTTCACTAATTTTGCTGAAATCAAATCCAGAGCAATTAATACTAATAGAAACACATGCTTTTGATGTGTTTTCAAGAACAATGCATCGATTAGAAATTGTATTAAGTATGCTAATGAGATTTCCACTCTTTGGAATTCCTAAAACTTTCATAACATCTACAATCGCAGATTCTATTTGGCTTTTCTGTATGAATCGTCCAGAATATTCTAAATTATCAATTTTAATGACCATTTCTTGAACTCTCCTTATGAGTTGGTCATTTGTTAGCAAATCAACATCTGCAGGCAAATATTTAACGTGATCTCTTAAATGTAAATCACAGAAACATAAACAATTTCTAATATTTTTCATTTCTTCAACACTTTCTTTCCTTTCTTTGATGATTTTTTTGCGGTCATCTTGCAAAGAATCACAAACACCATTTGTCGTTGAGATCAACATATCGATTGGTAATTCTGGAGAAAAGTCTAAATTAACTAAACCAAGAATTCTAGCACAGATTCCTTTCGATTGAGAAACGATTTCATCCATTTGATTTTCATATCTTTCGATCATTTCTTCAATTGGATTTATGCCTTCGTTTATTTTAGCAATGATTTCTTTTGGTTTAGAAAGATTGAAATATTTCGAAATAAATGATGATAAAACAGATATTTTTGTCTTCAGTTTTTCTATTTTACCTTTCTTGCTTTTAATCTTTTCTTTCTTTTTATCAATATTTGTTTTCATTTCACTTATTATTTCTCTGATGAAATCCATCCTCTTTTGTCTGGAAAGAGGAGTATCACGAGGGAACATCAAAACAATCTCGCAAAGGAATGAATCAATGGTATCATTGAGATTTTGGTTATCATCCATGAGTTCTTTCATTCTTTTCTGGATCTTTCCAATAACTGCGTTTTGTGATGTCAACTCGAATGGTTCATTGATTTTCCCATTGAATTTCAAGATCATTTCCAATGAATCTGTCATTGAATTGATCTCATTAGTGAGAATATTTTCCATCTCTTCGTAATCTTTCAATTTTTCTTTAATAAATTTAATACAAATCTCTATTTCTTCTGCATTTTCGCTGCTTAAAATAACATTTAATTCTTTCTTAATTTTGTCTAATTCGTCACTCTTCCTTTTACATTCTTGACAGTCTTTGTCAAAGAACTTTAGTATATAATTTACCAAATCTCCATCTTTTGAATCTTTTTTGCCAATAAATTTTTGAGAATCAAAAGTTGTTTTAAAATAATCAGAAACCTTTTTCGCAATTCTCATCATTGATTCTCTTAAATAAATAGCATCATCATTCTTTGAAGCTTGAGATAATTTTGTCTCCAAAATAAAGATTTTCCTATTTAATTCGTCCTCATTATTTCTCAGGTCTTTCAATTCTTTTGTCATTTTTTGTTCGTTATCTATTTTTGTTTTCGCTTCTTCACTCATAATCTTTGATTTGTCATTATAAAGAACTTTTAATTCATTTAATTCGTTCTCAAGTTTCTCGATTTTCTTAGCAAACAATTTATTTTCATCTGAAATTACAGAATTTCGTTCGATTAATCCATCAAGATTCATTTCAATAATTGTGAGCATTTCATCAATCGTTTCTTCTTCTCTATATTCTGCTTCGATTTTCTTGAAGATGGATCTCATGATTTTCTCATCAAATGTTGGAGTTTTATTGTTAACAATTTCAACTTCACTTTTAACACTAAGAACAGGAGAATTATGTAAAACATCTCTTTCTTCAATTGTAAATTCTTCTTGTTCTTTTTGTGACAAATCGTTTTCTTCTTCATTTATGACTTCCTTTTCGTTTTCTTTTACAGTTTCTGGCTCAGAATTTTGCTCATTTTGTTTTTCAGTTTCTTGAGTTTGTTCTTCTTCTTGAAGCATCGGATGAACAACATTGTTTGGAAAATTGAATTGTTCGTCAATTATTTTCCGCTGAATTTCAATTGAATCAATAATTTCACTTATTTCTTTTATAGTTGTTGGATAATCGAATGAAGTTCTTAGTGACTTAATGATATCACTGCAGTCTAACACTATGCTTTGCTTGTGGCGATTGAGATCAACAGCTGTCATTCTGCTCTGTGGAAGTTCATTCATAAAAGCTTCATTTATCAAATGGACAAAACTTTTTATTGTTGATTTATATGAAATGTAAACGTCTTCTTCGAAAAAAGGAAATATAGGTTGTCTAAACAAGTCCACAACTTTACCAGAAATGTTGTCACAGAGAAGTTTAAGAGATCTAGTACAATTTGTCACATTTGAATTTGGATATTTTCTATCATTGTTGCTTTTATCGATAAAATCAAGAGTCATTTTTATTTGGTCGAACTTAGATATCACAAGATGCGCATGAGGAATGTTATCTCCGTTTTTCATTTTATTGAATGCAACAACAAATCTTTCCCATGCTTTGGTGAAGTTTAAAACAGGAGTTCTGATTGATTGAATTGATACAATTTGTGTTGTTTGAGTAATAGATTGAAGTTTTGCAAATGTTTCGAAAAATTTGTGCGTTGACTCGTAATAAATTGGCAAAGTGTTTTGAAATTTTGCTAATGGAACTAGTATTGCTTGTGAAATTTCAGGAGTAGCTGAATTTGAATCAATAAAATTTATTGATAACTTAATTACTTTTTCACAGTCAATTTTAAAATCTTCTATGCGTTTTACATTCGGATTATCTGGTATTTTCCTTTTTGGAACAACCTTAACGTATTTTGCATTTTGATTTTGAGGAATTGTTGCCTTTTTACCTACAACAGCAGGCACAATTGTCGGGTCATCTTTATTATTGATTCTCCTAGGAGTTCTCAATGATGTTTTAGCTCTTCCGACCCTAGGCAACATTGTATTGAATTTTCAAACGTACACAAAAATTTATTACACAAATTTATCAATATTATATCATTTCATAAAAACATATAGAGGATTCTGAAATTTGTTATTTTTATAAGATTTGCAATAATATTTTTTTCAGATTGTCGGATTTCATGTTGTTATAGCCTACCCTACTCTAGGAATTTCATTTTCTTTATCAATATAGATCTCTTACAAGACAATAAGTTACTCAACATTACAAAAATCGCTTTTAATCCTCACCTTAAATTCAAATTTTTTATGTGAATGTACATAAAAAAAAAAAAAAAAAAAAAAAAAAAAAAAAAAAAAAAGGGAGTGGGGCTTCCAGGCACTTCGTGCCTTCTAGCCCTGAGGATGAATGAGTATAATGAAGTTTTTTTTTCTTGGGGGATGGCTTCCAGGCACTTCGTGCCTTCTAGCCCCCGAAGATGTTTAGTATAAATGAAGTTCTTATATATACGGGTCTTCCAGGAGCTTTTCACAAATTATATATGTTTTCATGTTTTGTCATGATTTCATCGTAAATGTTTTGTCAAGACTTCTTCTTCGTAAATGTTTTGTCAAGACTTCTTCTTCGTAAATGTTTTGTCAAGACTTCTTCGTAAATGTTTTGTCAAGACTTCTTCGTAAATGTTTTGTCAAGACTTCTTCGTAAAATGTTTTGTCAAGACTTCTTCGTAATGAGTGTAAATGACCAAACTGACAACACTTTGACCGAGTAGTTTTTTGTGCTGAACAAAAAGTGTCATATAAACATCTGTCAAAAACCGCTTTTTAACTTTACTTAAAATGCCACGTAAGCTACGTAAGAATATACATAAGAGGAAGAGAGCATTGAAACATCCAATAGTAAAACTGACACCACAACAACAGTTGCAACAACAAATGATGAATGACCCCACTATGTTGCAACAAATGTCAAGCAACCCTATGCTTTTAAACCGAGTTATTGGTGCACAGAGTGGAGGTTTAAGAGCGGCACTTTTAGCGAAAATGGCAGGCTATGGTGGAGCTGCAGACGGAACAGCCTATAACCCTCAAAGTCAAATGAATTTGAGTTCACTCAAAAATCAAATAACAGATGTCAAAAAGTCAAACATAGACATACAGAAACAAATAAGTGAAAACGAAAAGAAACTAGAATATGACAGACATACAAAGAAACTCAATGAGTTAAACGTAGAGAAAAAGAAGAAAGAAGAACAACTGAAAGAACTAAGTACAGAGGAATATGCGAAAAAAGTGTCAGAAAAAGCAGCAGAAGTAGCAAAAATGGAACAAGATGTCATAAATTTGAAAAACCATACTACTCAATATAAAATACTGAAAGATGAAGAGATAAAACAAAAAGCCCTGAAGACATATATGGATAGCGATGAGTATAAAAAAGAAGTTGAAGCAAATGTAAAGGCAGAAAAACTTTTACAGTTGCAAAACCAAACCGTACAGTATGAAAACTTAGCACAAGAAAGTAAAAATAACGACGCGGCTATGCAAAAGGCAATGAAAAGCGCAGAATATATAAAAGCTAACAATGACTGGTTAGATGCCCAAGCCAACGCTAAAGCAGCCCAGCTTATAGGGTCAATAAGGACAAAAATACAAGCGGATGAAGACAGTTCAAATGAAGCTTTAACAAATGCTGACTTTAAGAACGCCTTCGAAGCTCTTCATAGTAAGGTGAAACAAGTGAACGACTTCTCATCTGGAAAGAAACTGAAGTCTGAAGGTTTCGACAAAGAGTTAAAAGAAGTAGCACAAAATATGACGAAAATAACAGATGCAGCAACGAGACAGGCAGTTCAAAGTGCCTATGACGCCGTTAGAGCAACTGTTGTGAAAAGTCAAGAAAAAGAGTTACAACAGACCAAAACAGACCTAGTAAATGCTTTCTTAAAAACGAAAAGTCAGGTAGGACACTATGCTGCAGATGGAACATATGTGCCAGCTGGTGGAACTTATATACCACCAAACCCTCCAAGAGAAGCACCTGCACCAGGACTACCTAAAACATTTACATCGTCACATGGACACAGACACAGGCATGCACCACAACAACAACCAAAACCAACACAACAACCAACAGTTCAAAACACTGCACAACAACCAACAGTTCAAAACACTGCACCACAACCAACAGTTCAAAACACTGCACCACAACCAACAGTTCAAAACACTGCACCACAACCACAAACAGAGCAAGGACATAAAAGAAGTAGAGAACAAGGAAACCAAGAATTCTTAAAAATGCTTAAAGAAGAGTGTGGTTTCCCAGATACTGTTGACTTTAGTGACAGATATAAAGAAGCTATTGGAAAGTTCAAGGATGGAAATACTGACCCGAACCTATTTAGCTTTATGGCTCAGCACCAAAACGGATATAATCTCAAACCTGGAAAATACAAGCTCGCTAAGGGATATGATTTAATAGCATATCATCCAAATGACATGGATGAATTTACTCCGAGATATTTGATGTCAGAGCTAAATGACAATTCAACTTTCGTCATGAAACGCGTAAAAATAGAGACGGAACGAAAGAACAAAAGCTTATGAATGCGGATGACGTAGATAGGGAAATTGTTGAAAACGGTCTCGGAATATATGAAATGCCAGCAGATGAGGTACAAGAAACTCCACAGGAAGAAGTTCAGATACAACCAGACATGGAAGAAATAGTTCAGCAACAACAGCTAGAAGAGCCTGAAGGAAACGAACAAGTCCTTCCTTTGGAAACTAACTTCACAGAACTAGATGAAGATTTGGAACAGCCGAAAAATCTTGACCCTCAACAAGAGTATGCGGAGAATATGGAATATTTCCAAGAGTCTAAAAAAAATTCGACTGACATAGTAGAAGAATATCGAAAAATGTTTGCCGACATACAAAAGACTCCAACACCAGATGAAAATATTCAGCATAGAATGGAAGCACTGAAAGAAAATGTACACAAATACAACAACCCTTTTTACTTACGAGCATTTAACGTTCAATCTTCGGATGAACTCGGTGAAAATAAAAGGTTAAATTTCAAGAAAACATATAGAAATGAAACATTGTTTAAAGTTCATTCAGAACCTAACCAAGATGGAAACAAACCTACTTTTGTTTCTGCAGACGATGGAACTACAATGAGATGGGGTCATAAAGCTAATCCAGATAGGTGGTTCATAAACTTACAACCTCAATTCCAAGAAGTTGTAGACGCAATGGAAGTGAATGGTGAACCAGATATAGCTGGTATTTTCAGCGCGGCTTTAATGCCATTGAAAGATATGAAAGATGCAGATATTTTGAACCAGTATGAAATGAACATGGCTGATGGAAATATAACACCTGACGTTCTAAAACATTTATCTCAAAGAACTACACAGAACCATAGAGATGGTATATTTGGTGAAGAGTTTAGAAAGAAAGTTAGGGAGGGAGAAAGAGAACCTATTGTACATGACCTTGCAAATGAAAGTTTGCAAAATGTCAAAAACTTACTTTGCAGACAATGAAATGAGAAGGGATGAATATTTAAGAAAACTCAAATGGACAGTACCAAATGAAATGTTAGTATTGAAAAACATGTTCCTTGACAAAATAAAACCAACTACAGAAATAAACGACGCAAGACTGAAAGATTGGGTAAAAGCTTTCCCATTCACAAAAGATATAGTTGGTAACATGGAAAGAAAACCAGAATGGCTACAAAAACATATATTTGGAAACGAGCTTATTCCATATGGACAGGCTCTGTTTGAAGAGCTTGAACCAGAAACTCAGGACAGAGTCATGCAAACAATAAGCGACGACTCAAATACAAACTATGACAAACTCTTTCTAGGATATAGGTTACCTGAGATGGGCGACCAGAGCCAAAAGGCAAAAAGGACATGGGAAATTTGCAACATACTAGATGAACATAATGCAAAGATGCAACAACTTCAAGCAGAGGGCAATGAAGGAAAAAGAAGAGTTAAAAACTCAGTCAGGAAGAAAGTAAAGCTTGGTCCACGTGGGTTCTATTATGACATATAAATCCAACTATTCTATATTTTTACTCATATGAAATGTACGCCGCTCAGAATATAACGCCAACAGTTTTGGATGCTATGAATGGAAATGTTTCGAATGTATAACGAATGCGACAATGCCATTAGAAGGTCAGAAATAGTTCCTGGAACTTACGAATATACAACTGCTGTTTCTTATGGAAACGTAGGTGAGTTTGGAGAAGGTTTTCAACAACAGTAGATATTGCTTGCGACAGGTTTCATATAATTTCTATTGACAAACTCTTTCTTATACGTGGAACAAGACATTGAAATAAAAACCTTCTGCCAAGTTGTCTGACAAGAAAGGTTGCAATGGAATTTTCTATGTCGGATACCAATATGCTCCAGAAGTTTTCATGGGATATAAGATATCTAACTCTGACTTAGTTCAAACAGTAACATGGGCAAACTATGAATGGTTCGCTTTGAGAAAATCAGTACAACCACAAGCTAGAGAACAAACAGACCAGTATGCAAATATTGAGAAAATAAGAAGACTTGACCCTAACGTTCCAGGAGTTTATTGTTAACGCTTTCTGGACAAACTGCAGCAGCAGTAAACAAGTAAAACTGAAACTTAGAGTTTTTTGTCATCTTATCTCAGGTTTTTTAAGATACTTGCCAAACTGGGCAGGAAAATTTCTATCGAACTTATCCAAGCAAAAATAACTTAGTCATTGCATCGCACCAACGCAAGACCCATTCACTCTTACAGACGTAGTGGGAACAAATAAAACGTCATTCGCCGACTTTTGCAAAACAAAGTTGACTTAGACTTTGGTTTCTCAAACCTCAACACTGAAGTAAACTATTATTTCCAATGCTGCTGGAGATGCTTGGGACCCAGTTAAGTTCACATGCGAAAAGTTTGAATGCAAGAGAATAGAAAGCAGACTTGCAGTCTATATGTTGGACCCAGATATTTCAAATGCTTTAGCTGCCAAA